TTGGGTGGTATCCATCTATCCACAACTTGGGAGTAAGCCCTGAAGTCATAACTAAGCAGTCACTTTCCTGAGCTCTTCCTCCCCACACTGACCCCAGTACTGGGTTCCCTCGGGCTCCTTTTTTCTGGTTCTCTAACCCCTCTTCCCCAACTATGTCTGACTTGGGGCCAAATGGCGGGAAGAGAGAATACAGCATCAGGGGTTTGTCCCAGTTTGGGAAAGAAGCTCCTGTAATCAGTTTCCTTCCTGAGAGTTTTAGGCTCCTGCCAGCCCTTGCTCCGCTGCCAGGAGACTGCTTGGGTACTGGGAGAGTGAAAAGAGGAAAAAGGCAACAATCAAGTGCAGGGCCTCTGCATCTCTCGAGTGCTAGGAGACCCCTTTCTCACCCAGAACCAGAGTGTCTCCGGGCACTCTCTGTCCATGTTAACACCCCTTATGGGTTGGGGCTACCTTGAATTCAGGCTGTGAAATACCAGAGGGGGGAAATGGTAAACTCAGTCAATTCAGTGGTACTTCAAATTCTGGTTTTTCTCCCCAGCTGTCCCTTTTCTGGACCCCCAACAGCTATTCCATGCGTGATGTGCGAGTTGTCCAGCTGCAGCCACTGGGAGAGATGGAGCCTCTGGGAGAGATGGAGCTGAGTGCACTGCTCCTCCTTCCCCAGAACGGGGCTGCTCCTCTCGTGAACTGGGTCACACCCCGTTTTCCGAGGATACATGGGATGATGGCAATGAGGACGTTTTCTATTTTAGAATCTACCTGCAGGCCCACCCCTTACCTGCACTGACCATCAAGCTTATCCCTCCTGCAGTTTGTGATGATTTATGATTTTCTAAGCACCCAGACTTCTCAGAACCCAGAGGTGAGAAGAGTGACTGTTACTTTGAGAGGTCCTAGGTGTGCCCTCTCCGGAATTCTCTCTTTAACATCTAACCGTTGACCTGAGATTCCAGAAGGCCATCCACGACAATCCAGGTGATAAACACCCAAATGCCCACGCTCATCTTTGCTCACCAGCAGCGCTTCTTCTAGGCCACTGCCCTCCACTAGCCTGTCCTTCCCTCAGCTCTGCTGGCCACCCTCAGCCGCTGCCTCAGAGCCCAACCAGGACCCACACTTTCTGCTCAACCTCATTCCCTGACAATAGTGCCGATTTCTCAAGCCTGTGTACACAGTGCTATGTTTAAAAGACACACACTCTGTCCTTGCCCCGGCTACTGTAGCAAGGTGGTCAGAACATTGGCCCGAGCACTGAAGGGTCAAGGGTGAGGTTCCCAGGCAAGGGCACAAGTTCGAGGCAACCAATCAATGTCTGTCTGTCTGCCTGCCTCTGTCTCTCCCTCCTTCTCTCCCTCCCTTCCACTTTCTCTAAAAATCAATGGAAAAAATATCCTCGGGTGAGGATTAACAAAAAATAACAACATAAACCAACACCAACAAAAAAAACCTCTGTCCTAAATGTTTGCAGCCATGCGCCCTTCTGACACCCACTCAAATTACAAAGACCCACTTTTACCTCTTAGTGGTCTCTTCTTTTAAAAAATTAAAAGAACACGAGTGGAAAAATTACATGAAGGAAAGGTACCAAAATGCAAACAGTAGTTATTTGGGGCAAGACTCCAAATTTCTTAATTTGCTAGCATCTTCTACAAGTTAATATAATGAGGAAGTATGTGTTGCTAACTTATCTTTAAGAAGTCCATTCCCCATATCCCAAAACCCAAGCAACTGGGGGCCGTTGAGCCGTGCCATCCCATGCCAGGCCACAGCGGCAGGAATGATAACGGCTTCACCTCACAACTCCCCTGGAAAGTTCCCTCTCAGCCACTGCTGCTCCAGCAAAGCTGCGCATCGGGCCCCCTGCAGAGCGTGAGCATGAACGGCCACTGTGCGCTGGCGGGCATGTGAGAGGAGAAACAGAACAGTTCTAAAGTGTTAGACCGGAAAGCGTGGCACAGAGCGCGGAATCTCGGAAGGAAGGCGGGGGAGATGGTGGGTGGGAGGTAATCAACCGAAGACCTTGTATGCATACATGCTTGACCCATGGCCACAGACAGTGGGTGGGGAGAACCTAAAGTGGAAAAGAGAGGACATATGTAACACTATCAACAATAAAGATTTTAAAGATAAAATAAAATGATGCATACTGAACTAAACAAAAAAAAAATACAATAAAAATATTTCAGAAAATATTTCAATACATTAAAAAAATAATTTTTAGACCTGAAAGAAAGGGTCAAGTCTGTCATTTACCAAATGAGGAAGATGCAAGGGAACAGGTTCCAGAGGGTGGGAAGTAAATAAAGGGTAGGCCTGTTAAGCAGGAAATGCCTCTAGACATCCACATGCAGCTGTCCAGTGGGCAGCTGCAGCCCACATCTGGAGCAGAGACGCAGTCCCGGCTGGAAACATACGTGGGGGCTATCAGCAGAGGCAGGACATGCGAAGCCTCGAGTCCAGCTGAGATCTCGCAGGGGGTGACCACGGACAGAGAAGCACTCCGAGCCGGCATGACTGGACCAGCAAATGAAGGGAAAAGCAGGCCAGGTTCATTCTCGCAGGCAGGTTCACTTCCTATTGTCCACGGCAGACTTTCATTGGACAGAACCCAGAACAGCAAACACCCCCAGCACCGGAGACATTCAGCGCTGCTCGGAGCACATGGTGAATATTCACTCTGTTAACCGCACCTCAGAGGCAGGGACTCCTGTTCTCCAGACTCCAGAGAGGAGGAAAATGGGGTTCAACGAGGGGAAGTAACATGTCCAAAGCCTGGCGGCCAGGCTGGCTCCACCACCGCGTTGTCACCACGTGACGCCCTGAGTAACAGCACTGCGAGGGAAGGGAAAGGAGCTGTCTGCCCAGCGCCTGACGGTGCTTTCGCTCTGCCGGAGCTGCCATCGCCCCCTGGGACGACGGTCTAGCACTCAGGCCCGGCACGGGCTCTGTGCGGGGTGCGAGCTGCCCTCTGTGACAGCAGCCAGCTAGAGCGGGTGCCCAGGCGCCTCGCCACGGGGGGTCCCTGGCTCTGGATCCCTCTCAGGCCTTGCAGCTTGGGGGCGGGGGCGCGAGGGAGGAGAGATGAGAGGGCTAGAGACACAAAGCACAAGCAAACAACACGGCAGGATCGCATGACTCACGCAGGTACAATTACATCCTTTATTATTGATGGCTGCAGCCAGACGGTGCTCTTCTCTGCAGTGTTGTGTTACCACACAATTAGCTGGCCTGTTCATTCCAGTTCACAAAAACCCTTGAAGTCAAAGCACATATCCACGCTTATGTATGTATGACAACGATGGCAGAGAAATTTAAGCATGACGCAAGTGATATCAAGAATAAATCTGCTTAGTACGATAGCTACTTTTTTGAAAGTGTAGATTCCTTTTAAAATATTTTAACTGTGTGGCTACTTAGTTTCCTAAGAAGTATTTTGCTGAGTTTTACAAACAAACTCATTATATTTTCATTGTATGTATTTTAACAAGTCTACACAAGAAGCGATTCAAATTTAAGATACAAACTCCAACACTGATTTATTTTGGCTCCAGACACCAGCTCAGGAACATTAGGCCACAATCAGAACAAACTTAATTTGATAAGGCGCAAAACAGGTGCAAATCCACCGTGTTGCCCAGGCTAGACCAAACGTGTGCATGCTGCCTCCCCCACACACCGCACGCCGTATCCACCATGCTTCACGCTCAGCGGAGCCAGCCCCGGCCACCGCTACTGCCACAGCTAGAAGCCAGACACCCTTTTCTCTCCCCTGGACTAGCCCAAGAGCCACACTCTCCCCAGGTGACCACATCACTCTGAGCCTGCAGGCCAGAGCCCGGGACCAGGGTCATCACGCCACGTTACATCACTGTCACGTCACGTCACAGAGGCCTGGACAGCGCCCCACCTCCTGCTCCGCTGCCCCTTCCCGACAGTCAGCCCGCTGCTCCTCTGCCTGTGTCTACACGCTTCTCTGGTACAATGGGGACAATAGTATCTTCTTCATAAGGATGTTGCGAGCTTTAAATGAACTAGAAACCTAAGTGCTGACTCACATAAAGTTAGCAGAAGTAACCACTCAATAGATGAGCCATCTCCATCGTTATGACTTCTCCATCACACCTTTACACTCAGCTCCTGGATGGCCGTGCCCACGGCCCTGCCGCCTTCCCCAGCCACCTGTGCTGCTTTTCCAACCCCTGGGTGGGACGCTCTCCTCCCAGAGGCCTCTCGTGAGCCCAGGGGCTGTGCCACCCCCCACCCCGGTGCAGAGCGAGGGCCTGCATCCACAGACCCTACCAATGAACACAAAGCAGGTGGGAGGGTGCGGCTGCTGGGGCAGGGTCGCAGCTCTGGGCAACCAGGACTGCGGGGATGCCTGGGCACACAGCCTAGACGGTGCTGGTGGTAAAAGTCAGCCCCGCCTGCTGTGTCCTGCCGAGCCCCTCCGTGAGAAGATGAGCACGTGCCTCCAGCTGCTGGCACCTGCCTCCCCGGGGAGCCTGGTAGTGACGAGACACCACAGGCCTGACCCGAAGCCTATGCCCACCCTGGCAGACAGGTGGGCAGCTCCAGGGCCAGCAAAGGGAGGGTCAGTACAGCCGGTGAACAACGGCCCGGCCTTCCTGGCCAAAGCAGCACCGGAAGGATCCAGTCCCAGGAAACCCAGGGGATCAGAGAGGGGGCGTGCTTTACTATCAAACACAGTCCATACAAATCAGCCACAGACACACTGAAACTCTTACTAGGAAAGAGTGACACATTAAATCAAGTTATGGATATCTAAAGCCCAGCTCTCTCAACTGAACACTCTGCTGTGCCCATTACAAACTGTCAGAAATGACAAAGGTTAAAGTCACTGACATGCTGAAGACAGGCTTGAGTGTTAGGAACTTGGCATGCAAATTAGTACAGTTTCCCCGTTTCAAAACCTCCAGAACAGTCGCTTTTGCAAGGTTCAGAAGCATATGCTGCGCAGCACACGTCTGTATCTTGTATACCTTTTGTACTTTCTTTGACTCTTTCTGAGCATTCTCTCGGAGTGGTATTTTTCCAAATAACTTCCATCCCAAGTCATTTTGTTTGTCAAGTCTTGCATTTTGTTTTCTAGTAAGCAAATTCCTATAGGAAGAAAATAAAAGGTTAGGGAATCCTCGGTGGTTAGAAACATCAGGACAGCCAAGTCACTCTAACGAAAACACACAGACCTCCCGTGACAGCACACTGTGGTGAACCACACGCTCGGTTTTCAGACTTGACTTCCATACAGACACAAAACTACGCAGTAGGCGAAAGACTTCAAGTAAGATTTTTGTTACTCATTGTTACGTGTACAAATTCTATAATTTAGGGTAAGGAAATGTATTACATCATGACAAAGTGTATCAGAAAAAATGAACTTCGAAGTCAGACCACAGTGAACTGAAACTCTGGCTCACCCATTCACTAACTGTGTGACTCCCTGGCCAGTATAGTCACCTGAGCCTCGGTTTCCATTTAATAAGGGTCTTTGTGGGAGTTAAAATGATAGCTATAGCCCAGCTAGTATTGCTCAGTGGTTGAGGGTTGACCTATGATCCAATTGGGTGCCATGCCCGGGGTGCAGGCTCCATCCCCAGTGGGAGATGTGCAGGAGCAGCTGATCAATGATTCTCTTTCATCACTGATGCTTCTATCTCCCCTCTCCCTTCCTCTCTGACATCAATAAAAATATATCTTTTTTTTTTTTTTTTTTAAGTTACAGCTACACAATCAGTGCTCAAAGAACAGCTGCTTTAGCCTTGGCCGGTGTTGGTCAGTGGTTAGAGCATCAACCCTTGGACTGAAGGGTCGAAGGTTCAATTTCTGGTAAAGGGCACGTATGTGGATTGCCAATTCAAACTCTGATCTCATTTGGAGTGTGAACAGGAAACAACCAATTGATGTGTCTCTTTTACATGGATGTTTCTCTCTTTCTCTTTCTCTTTTTCTCTTTCTTCCTCTTCCCCCCTCCCTCCCTTCCACTTTCTCTTAAAAAAAAAAAATCTATGAAAAACTTCTCAGGTGAGGATTTAAAAAACAAAAAGCCAAACAGCTGCTTTAGTACTTAACCTTTAGTTTAGTTCAAATTATCTACAAGGAAATCTATTGATATATACCTATTCACAGTCTCCCCACATCACAGAGAGCAAGCCACCCAGGTCTGTCACGAGGTCTCCTCTCCCAACACATAAACCCAAGACCCAAACAGCACAAACAATGCAGTGGTGTACAGAGCAGGCTGTTTTGGAACGCACTGTTTTGGTGTGCTCATTGAAAACGCGTGGCTTCAGGCCCACTGGCACGTATACGATGCGCAGCCAGAAAGGAGGAAAGTGCTCAGAGGAAGCAGGGGACGCATCTAACGGAAACAGCTGCCCGTTAGAAAGGGCTCCCACTGGCTAACAATTTAATCATCGAAATAAATAACGAGCACAGGGATCAGAGTCCACTGAATAAGGCAGAAATGCACAAGCTCACGTGGGTACAAATAAATAGCCATTAATGCACGGGGGAGGAAGGACAGCTACAGGGCGCCACCGGGCAAATACAGAACGGTGGGTGGTTAGAAACGGGCACTGGTGCTACCCTTGCAGGTGAAAGCTGGATGAGGAACAGGGTCTTTACACCAGGGTGACCACAAGGCAAAACTAGTTCCCTCTCCAGCGGAGACCCTTCCTTGAGGAAGGGATCACAGCTGGCATTGCTAATGTAGGAGCGACAGCACACGCCGCCATGTTGTTGGCAGCTACCAATGCCAGTGGACAGCACAGCCACCCCCCTGGGCATTTCTCCACTAGGGGACAGAGCGCAGGAGCAGGGGCGTCTGCCCTCCAGCCCCAGCCCCAGCCGGGCAGCACTCTGCTCTGCAGGAGGGAGGCAGGGACAGAGGTCTGAGGGGCAGAAAGGTGGGCTGAAGGCGGGTGGCCCGCAGGTGCTGGCCCACCGGGATCTGTTGGCAATGCCGTGCTGATTGCTGGATAACAATGCTGACGAGGCTTCGGGAAATACACTGTGCGCTGCCCACAGTTACGCCACTGCCAGCTAACAGACGGAGGGAGGCAGAGAGCTTGGGCCGGAAAAAGGAGTCAGGGTGTCACCCCTGCGTTTATCCCAGGGCTTGCAAAATAATTATTTTCATCTCAATGGGTCACGACTCAGAGGAAAAGATATGAGATGCCGTTGGTTCTGTGCTTCCAGGTGAAGAAGACCTTTGAAATGCCTTTTTCAGAACCCCTGGCGGCACCCTCAGGGAGCAGAGCACAGAACCTCAACTGCCCCGCTTGGTTTCTCCACCTCTAGATCATCTTCCTTACCTCCCTTCCTTCACTCCAGAAGTATGAAAAGCCGCCCCACTGTCATTCTCAGGGCATCTGAGCTCTCGCCTCCCAGCACTGTGATCAGTTTGGTCTAAATCAGCTCGTAAACATCCCCCACAGGGCTGAGCGTCCTATGTTGACAGCAATGACAAGCCATGTACACACAGTGCTGGTTTCTGCCTGCGCCCCGGGAGCCAGCCGCTCCGGGCACACTGTGAAGTGCCATGTCACAAGGAAGCAGTGTCATCAGTTAGAGCAAGATGGGTCAGCGAACAACTCCCAGGACAAAACGGACCATGAGAATCCTGTCCCCACTGGAGCTTTCCTCCTCTCAGCCTAGATTTACCCGCCTCTCTTTCTGTTTTCATCACCCGACTCCGAGTCCTTGAGAGTGCACAGAGCAGGTCCTGGGTCAGGACGTCAGTTTGTTATACTGCTGATGAGGTGCTGTAGAAACCAACTCTTGCAGATGTAATAAAATTGGGTTTTGCCTAGCCGGGGTGACTCGGTGGTTGAGCACTGACCCATGAACCAAGAGGTCACCAGTTTGATTCCTGGTCAGGGCACAGGCCTCGGTTGTAGGTTGGATCTCCATTAGGGGGCATGCAGGAGGCAGCTGATGAAAGTTTCTCTCTCATTGGTGTTTCCATCCCTCTATCCTTCTCCCTTCCCCTCTCTCTAAAATCAGTAAAAACCTATTAAAAGTAATAATCCTATTGATGGCTGCCTATGACCAGGCCGGCAGGGGGGTTAGTGAGGGACGACCGAATGACTGAAGAGCAGGCTGTGAGGGGCGACCAGGCCAGTAGGGGAGTGCAGTTGGGGGTGACCAGGCTGCAGGGTGGGGAGCAGTTGGGGGCGATCAGATCAGGCTGGCAGGCAGAGGCAGTGAGAGGCAATCAAGCCATCAGGAGGGGGCAGTTAGGGACGACCAGGCAGGCAGGCAGGTGAGCAATTAGGAGACATGGTCCAGGATTGTGAGAGGGATGTCTGACTGCCGGTTTAGGTCCGATCCCAGGGAAAGGCCAGCTACTTCAACCATCACAGATGAAAACAGACTCAAGAGGGGTAGTGAGCACCTGCCGAGAGCTCCTGACACACAGCAGACCCAGGGATTGAGCTTAAACTGGCAGTCAGACATCCCCCAAGGGGTCCCAGATTAGAGAGGGTGCAGGCTGGGCTGAGGGGACCCCCTTCCATGCATGAATTTTGTGCACCAGGCCTCTAGTAATAAATAAAATTGTTTTTGTTATGGGTCATTTCATTGAAAGTCATATTGATACGTTAAGTAAGGACTTACTATATACTGCCTCCTATTCACTATGGTGACCCTAGTCTAAAACAATTCCTGGCAAATAATAATAATAATAATAATAATAATAATAATACAATTCCTGGCATGTAGGAAAGCACGCAAAATTAGTCCATGCATGCATTCCGAGGCGTCTTCACACCTATTACACAAGCATTATGCCTGCCCACTTAAAATAGGGAAGCAAGGGTCCGAACAGCTCGGGCTGTCCCGCCAGAGACACAGCCAAGGGGCACAGGAAGAGGGCCCTGTCCGAGGTGCTTCCTGGAAATCTGGAGTCAGCGCCCTCCCAGGAGGCCGAGGACAGGGTGCGTGAAGCAATGACCCTGCGGAGCAGGTTCCACAAGCCACCACCTCTCAGCAGCGATTTCTCAAAACCTCTCCGTCTTGAGAAATAAAACTCCAAAGTCCTCCTCCTACACTGTGCAGCGAACGCTGCTGTGATGCAGGGACTGCGGGCCTCGTGCTCCCTGCCTCCTCCCTCCCTCACTCACAGGAGCTGTGGCAGGTCAGCCAGGGGTACCCAAGAACACCCAGCTTCCGTCCTGCGCGGACCATGGGCATCTCCTCCACCATTTCCGGGAGGCAGCCAGCTATTGTAGCTTTCAGAGCGCCTATCGGGACCTCCAGTGTGAAAGCCCCACGGAAGGCAGTTGCCAGGTACAGACAGGAAAGCGGCTCGGGAGGTTAAGAACTTTACTCCTGATGGGATATACACCCCTGGCACCCCCAGGGGAAGAGAAGACAGAAATCTTAAAGGATGCTGCCAGAGCCCTGTCATAGTCGGTGTGTGTTCCCCATCTCCACCCCGCAGCAGCCAGCGCACTTCGCTGCCACACTCCCCACACCGGCCGGACTCTGCTCAGGACAGGCAAGAGGGAAAGGCCAGCCCTTCAGCCATCACAGATGAAAAACAAACACATTCTGCAAAGCAAGCCTCCTGTGCCACAGATTCTACCTGCCCTGGGAGACCGCAGTCCGTCACTGTGCCCCAAACTCCTAGCTCCCCAGCTAACAGCACTCAGGGCCTCTCCTCCCTTAGAAAATGTCACCCACGTAGTATCTGAGGCTAAAAAGTGGATCCCTCAAAACAGACAGCATCAACTCAAGGGGGGTAGTGAGCACCCGCCGAGAGCTCCTGGCGCACAGCAGACCCCGGGAGATCCAGGACACGCCCACTTCATCTAAGAAACACGCAAGGAAGCGACTCTGCCCAATGGGGCGCGGGGCCTAAACTCCACACAGGGGAGAGAAACCAGCTCCACGTACGGCTCCAATTTCAAAGCAAGAAAGGCGAGCCTGGGACACAAACCTGTCCATGAGCAGGAGCGCAGAGGAGACGGACATCGCGTCTACCGCGGCCACGCGGCTCCGCCAGGCCGGCCGCAGGCGGGCGGGCGCTCCCGTCGCCACACTCCCAGCTGCCGGAGCCACAGTCCCCAGCTCCCGGGTCTGGAAGGTTAAGGCGGCAG